GCACACACACACATACACACTCACACACATACACACTCACACACACACACACACACACACGCATACACGCGCGCACACACACACACACTCGCACACACTAACACACGCGCATGCGCACACACACACTCACACACACACGCATACATACGCACACACACACCCTCACACACACTCACACACACAGACACACACACAGACACACACAGACACACACACACGCGCACGTACATACAAAAACACTTACACTCACACACGGACGCACGCACACACACACACTCACACACACGCATAGACGCCCACACACACACGCACATACATACAAATACGTGCACACACACACTCTCTCTCTAACACTCTCTCACACATACACACATACACACACACGCGCACGTACCTCCTGTAGTGCAACCATTCGCTTTGGTCCATCCTCGCTTGGTGCCTCCGATGCTTGGAGCACGCGTAGCATGTGCATTCGCACATCGTGCTTCACAATTTGAGGGATAGGATCCCTCTTGTTGCCTGCACGGTACGTTCGCTTCACGAGAGGTTGATGGAGATACTCGTACATGTTGGCGCTGTAATGCATCGGCACCCCCGATCGAATGATGTCCTCCACCACGTGTGCCAATGAATGCACTTTGGTGATGTCAAACTCAGACTTCTGAAGGCCTGCAAAGACTTCCTTCAAGAGCGGAATCAACCTGTTGGTGGGTATGGCTCACATGAAGAACATTGAAGAGACAAAACTCAATGGGCGCGAAAAAATTAGTAACACAAGACGTCGCAACACATTGGCAAGCATGGAATGCAAGGTATGAGATACATCGAACAAGAAAGAGAAAAACCCTAAACCATGCACAGTTGAGAAAGATGCTTACCTCTTGATGGCCTCATCAAGCTCTTATAGCGTCTTCGAGGTATGATACCAACGCCGGGCTGCGAGCATGTAGCAATCCACGAATGCTGCCACCGCACCAACCACCGAGTTCGGCACGCCGCAATTTGCAAGCACGATCGTGATCACTTGCATCACTGCGCGATGCTCAAACGCCTGAAACCGTGCAGCACCCGCAAAGTAACCACCCTTCTCGGAAGATGGGATACGGAAACCCGAGATTCGGGTGTCGGTCGCAATGCGCTGCAACTCGGTGTCGAGGGAACGCAGAAAGTCGCGATCTCGTGCGTAATATGCTCGAATGCAGGAAACGATGTGCAAGAAGACACCAAGGTCCATCGCGTGCATCACCTCGACAAGTAAGGCTCGGTATGGATTGCCGACAGGGGTACGTCCGCCTCTGAAGCCCCACAAGGCTACCTGCGCGGGGGCGAGTAAGTGAAAAACTGTTAGCACACACTTAATTTAACCCACACAACCAAGACAGAGAAACGCATGCACGCAGATTCTTAGAATAACGACACACGAACTAAAGAGGCACGAACAGACGCGCGTACACACACAAATACGCACGCAAAACGTATGGACGCACTCGCAAACCATACGTACCTTGATGGGATGGGTGCTGATTGATTTTGATGCCTTGTTCCGCTCGGGCCCACTCGGCAACGCCAACAACGCCTCAACTTTATCGCCCTGATCGACTTCCGTGCGATATTCGACCACCGCCTCCATGTTGCTTATGTCTTCACGTTTCACGAGACACCTGTGGCACGGGAACATCGCCTTGTGACTTGCAAACGTCCCCGCCAGCTTGCACGCTTCCGGGTGATCAGCCACATATGCGTAGACAGCGGGAAATACCACTTGCGTCTGCCCAAAAGGGTCTTCTATTACAATGCCACTATGTAGGTAGAAAAGGGTGATGAACATAGGAAAGATACAATTATAAGGGGAGGGGAAGTGGATTTGCACATGAGGTGAGCAAGAAAAAACTCATCGTAGCGATAAAGCATACTTGCAACACACACACCCACACCCAGTAGAATGAAAAGCACTCACCCGCACATTCAATAGACACTCACTCGTAAGATGCCTCTTTGAGCTCTTTAAGAACCACATCCAAAGCCAGTTGGAATACCTCCCGATGAAGCGCCTTCCCCTCGTCCGTCCTCGAGTCCACGTTCGGAAGTGGCGGAAGCATAGCAACCATCCGATGCCCGTGTGGTTGCCAACAATTCTTGAGCGTGACGTTTCCAAGTGTGAAATATACCGGATGTCCCGTAACACGCCCATCGTTGCTCAAGTTTGTCCCGTCGCTGTACAGGATGCACGCTGCAATTACACCACCCCTCGGGCATTCTTCTTGCATCTTAATCCATCCATCTCCCGTCTCGGGCCCCGCGTATATCCGCTGCTTCTTGTCGGACGTGTAGACTGCTGCCGGTTTCACCACAAAGCCGTCTCTGTTCGCGTTGTCCGAATACATCGCCACCAATGCTTCGACTATGGAGGTTACGTGCACAGTAACTTTCATGCCGTTGCTCAACTCCACCTCGACAGCTCTCCATTCCACCATGCCCGTAGTCTCCGCCAGTAAAGACTTTTCGTACTTCGCCAAGCCAGCACTGTTCTTGTATGATGGCTTCATGTAACCGGTCTCGTGCAAAACGCTCAGTAGAGTATTAGTGTCAGTTGCCGACATCCCCATGCCCCCATTAAAACCCCGAATCGCCTTCGCCAAAGCCAGGTCTGTGTCAAATGGGAGCTTCTGTGGACTAAGATCTGCCGTTGCATCCGTTGTTGAGAATTCTATGTCATCACCGTCGCCGTCGCTGTCATCCGACGTCGGAAAGTCAAACGGGGGAGGGTTCACACTGGTTTGTGCAGATGGTGCTCCGCTAGTGGTCAAAGGCGGACTTGCTGCGGCACGCGGAGCAACTCGTGCACGCAGCAGCCGGTTCACGTCATTAGCTTGTTTGCGCTTCAAACCCTCTAGAATCCGTACATTTGCTCTCTCTGACGCAGTTGGGCGCTTTCTACAAAACAATTTGTGATTAATCAAGCCCTGTCCAGTAGTGCAGGTGAATCCACAGGCACATGTAAACTCCATTATCAATTATAGGGATACAAGGATCTGTGCAAGCTTGGAGAAGAACTAAAATAGTGAAGAATAACAAGCAAGGTCTAACATATATGCAATGTCTTCAATAGCATCCCCTGGACCTGCATGCAAAGACCACAGAGCACAAACGGTCATGGCCCTCAGTGGCAAGAGGGGGCAAATCTGTGGCTCTAAAACGAACATGGCAAAAAAAAAGCCAAAAAACACTAAAAACGGTACTGACCCCACTAATCCCTCAAGCCGCGGCACTTTCGCGCAATATACCACGCGTCCGCACGCGGCGCATCCGATGGTACGGCGACGAAGTCGCTATTTCTGCCGGGCCGACCCTAAAACTAATGTAGAGAAACCAAAACGACGAAACCCTCGCGGCCCGTGGATCTGCAACAGCGGGACGCAAGTGTGAAAGTGTACGCCTTGTCGGCACGTCGCGCATGCACTGGTGTGTCGTCGAAAACGCGTTTCGGGCTATGGCGTCCCTAAAATTAGTACATCTAAAAAATTGAGCTCGGCTCGCGCCCTACGATCTACCCTAAGCTGGACGAGCACCCGTCTGGCATGCGGTACGAGGCAAAGAATGGATGGCGAGGCGTCGTTTCCTTAAAAAAAAAAACCGCCAAACTTGGGTAAAACGGGCGGTTCCAGCGAGTTAGCGGGTTCCAGGGAGGCGCCATGGCGGGCTACTTTATTACCACCTCTACGATAATAATGTGCACTTCGAGTGAGGAGGGAAATGGAGGGGTTGGAGGGGAACGGCCGCATGATGCAGGCACCGATAAAAATTCCGCAAAAACGTTCTCAACCGCGTTCCACACCCTTCGCCCCTAACTGCCACGGCGACAAAGCAAAAAGTTACGTGCCGTTTTCGCACGTAACAGGGTGTGCAACTCCATCATCATTCTGGTCCAGCTGGATTTTTCGCGCGCTGAAAATGAGCCGTCCGAAGGGCTCATTTACCTGGTTACCGCTACGGTCATTCGCCAACGGTAAAAGTTATGGTAACCGTAGGCGTACACGTTTCCATTTCTTCATGGGAATGAAACAATGTGATTATGCAAAATTACAAGCGATTCGTATACATTGACGTGTTCATATTCAGTCTTCACCATTTTTTTTACAATATTAGTTCAGCGCGGAGTTCTATACACCACCGCACCGAATTTCACCGAGCGGTGTTCATCGACCCAACGGGATGAGTTTTGCGCCAATTGCCCGCTAACTGCTCCGTGACTGCACGAATCGAAATTAGGGTAACTGCGGGAGATCGCAGGCAGCTCGGAAACAGAGGGCAATTAGAAAAAAACACCGCAAGCAAACTGCAGGGATGCGATATCGCCAAGCTTACCGCCGGCTGTTTCCCAGCGAACACCTGCAGAGTTGCGATGCATGGATACCCTGATTGACACGTCACCATCCCCAGCAGCTCAAAGCAAACCCTCTTTCCCTAACCCACCGCTTCAGACATGAATCCCAACGGAGATGGAGGGGACGACGTAAGACCCACTGTACAAAACTAATCCTCCTGCTACAGTAGTACCAGCGAAGCTTCCGTTCAGAGTTGAGAAGCTTCCTTCCAGAACTACGAACCTTCCCGGGGACACGTCACCCACTGGCAAGATTCGCAGGGGCGATCTGACCACTCGCCTAGCGTCACTAATCCATAGAATCTCTTCCAAGCCTCGACCGGCGGCTCGGCCCATGCCTGGCAGCCGAACCACGCAGTCAGGCTCGAATAAAGGCTCAGAATCAGAACCAGCAAGTGGTAACTCAGGTACGGAACACAGCGAGGTTCGGGCAAAGGGCATTAAGGGTATCGGCCTTGCACCTGGCCAAATCACTTTGCTTGAAAGAACACCCATAAGTTTGGGTGTGGGAGCAGGTCAAGGGGAAACGAGTAGGGAAGCAGAGGGGACGGTAGTAGGAGGGGGAGGGTCACCAGCAGCGGCTAGGAGTGCTGCGCAACGGGGGTTTGGAACAGGAATGGCTGTGCAGGGTGGGGTTGGAACAGGAATGGCGATTGAGATGGTGACTGTGTTGCAGAGCCTGTCGAGTGGGCTTGAGCGGTTGAAGGAGCTGCAAGGGGCGATGGAGGCTCAATAGAGACAGCAGCAGCAGCAGCACACGCAGTGGCAACAGCAACAGCCGGCGCAGCAGCAGCAGATGCAGTGGCAGCAGCAGACGATGTGGCAAGAGCAGGACCAGCAGCAAGAGCAAGAGTACAGGGAATTGCAGCTGCTGCAATCAGCACCTCTAGTGGAGGGGCGATTGCGGCAGCAGCAGCAGCAGCAGCAGCAACGAGGTTCTGTCCCACTCCACCAGCTTCAGTCCCAACGTGTTCAACTCGCAACTCAAGCCACCTCATCCTCCCGAATCTTCCAGCACCCACTCAGCGTCGCCCTCCCCTCACGTCCCTCCATAACTACCCCCACTTCTCCACCTTCTCCTCGCCCCTCCTCCCCTCAAGACCCGCCCCTCACCACCGCTCTCCACCTGCGCCCAAACCTTCAATTCGACTTCTCACTCTTCACAGAATCGTCCCTCCGTCGCGTGGGCATCCCATCGCTACCCAGCAGGGAGGAGGAGAGGGAGCGGCGGCTAAGACAACACGTGTTGGCGCTAGCAGAGGCCCATGCAGTGGGGGACTGGGCGCTGGTGCGGCGGTGGGGGAAGAAGGTGCGGGGGGAGGCGACTGCGGAGGGGGATGTGGTGCAGCGAGTGGCATGGTACATGCTGCAGGCTCTAGAAGCAAGGGCGGATGGCACTGCTGCTGTGAAATGGCGAGCGCCGGTCGAGTATAAAGTCAAGGTGGGTCGTTGCTGGTGTGGTGGTCTATGTGTGAGGCGAGAGGTGAGTGAGAGAGGGGATCTGGTGCAGCGCGTGGCATGGCACATGCTGCAGGCTCTGGAGGCGAGGGCGGATGGCACTGCTGCTGTCGAGTGGCGACATACGGTTAGGATGTGAGGTTGCTGTGACATGTGCTGCTATTGTCAGAACATATAGCTTACTTGTTTCTGTAGGCTATAGTGGGGTATCCCATAAGGGGTACAACCCAATCAGGGTTTCCTATTTGTACTCACTTCGTTCATAGTCATTCCATTCTCGTTCACTTCTTCTCATGGTATCGAGCAGGTTCCCCTGTGGGAACTGTTCGTAGGGCCCACCACCGCTACCGCTTAACTTTTTTTCTGCCCGGAGCGCGCTCCGGGCCCTCGTACTTCCTTTTTTTTTTTTTCGATCTGCCCTAGTGCTCTGACGGCCGCCCACTCTAGCGCCCGAACGCCGCCCGCCCTAGCGCCCTGACGGCCGCCCGCCCTAGCGCCCTGACGGCCGCCCGCCCTAGCGCCCGAGCGCCACCCGCCCTAGCGCCCTGACGGCCGCCCGCCCTAGCGCCCTGACGGCCGCCCGCCCTAGCGCGCGAGCGCCGCCCGCCCTAGCGCCCGAGCGCCGCCCGCCCTAGCGCCCGAGCGCCGCCCGCCCTAGCGCCCTGACGGCCGCCCGCCCTAGCGCCAGTGCGCCGCTCGCCCTAGCGCCCTGACGGCCGCCCGCCCTAGCGCCCGTGCGCCACTCGCCCTAGTGCCCTGACGGCCGCCCGCCCTAGAGCCCTGTCGGCCGCCCGCCCTAGCACCCGAGCGCCGCCCGCCCTAGCGCCCAAGCGCAGCCCGCCCTAGCGCCCTGACGGCCGCCCGCCCTAGCGCCCGTGCGCCGCTCGCCCTAGCGCCCGAGCGCCGCCCGCCCTTTCGCCCTTACGGCCGCCCGCCCTGACGCCTGAGCGCCGCCCGTCGTCGCCCCAGCGCCCTAGCGCCCGACGCCCGCGAGCCGCCCGTCGCAGCCGCCCGTGAGCTGCCTGTACGCCGCCCGCCGAGCCTCCCGTGCACCCGCCGTCCCTGAGCCGCCCGCGCCGCCGTCCCTGAGCCGCCTGTGCAGCCGCCCGCGAGCCGCCAGCGAGCCGCCCGTCGCGACGCCCGCGCCGCACGAGCCGCCCGTACAGCCGAGCCGCCCGAGCCGCCCGAGCCGCCCGAGCCGCCCGCGCCGCCCCAGCAACCCGAGCCGCCCGAGCTGCCCGAGCCGCCCGAGCCGCCCGAGCCGCCCGAGCCGCCCGCGCCGCCCCAGCAACCCGAGCCGCCCGGGCAACCTGAGGAGCCGAGCTCCTGCTCCTGCGTGGCTGCTGCTGCTCCGAGGCGTGCGCAGCTGCTGTTCTGCCGAGTTGCTGAGCCGCTGCGCTACCCGACTCTTTGTGCCCGGTGAGACAATCAGCTGCTGCAATGGCCACCCCCAGTGTCCTGTCTTTTGACGCTGAGGGTCGCGCCATTGACTTTCCAGTCTGGATTGAGGACCTGCAGCTCTACTTACTGTGCGATGCCATCGATGAGGTTTCTCTCTTTGACTTTGTCTCTGGAGCTGTCCCTGCCCCTCCTGCTGATGCTGACCCTGCTGTTCGCTCCAAGTGGGCCACACGCGATGCTGCTGCACGTCTTGCTGTGCGTCGCCACCTCCCTTCCTCCGAGCGTGCCCACTTTAGTCAGTGCAAGACCGCTCAGGCCTTGTACGACGCTGTAGTTACACGCTACTCCTCCCCTTCCTCCGCTACGCTGAGCCGCCTCATGCTACCGTTTCTCTTCCCAGACCTCGCTGCCTTTCCCACTGTCGCTGACCTCGTTACCCACCTCCGCGCTAGTGACGCTCGCTACCGCGCTGCCCTTTCTGCTGAGTTCCGCGCCGCAAACCCTCCTCCCATGTACATCACTCTCTACTTTCTCGTCACCCGTCTCCCTGAGTCCCTTCGTGTCGTTAGGGACCAGTTTCTCTCTGTCTGTCCCACCACCCTCACTGTCGACCTCCTTGAGGAGTCCTTGCTAGCGGCTGAGAAGAGCATCGTCGCTGTAGGGGCCTCTCGGGGTGACCCTCGCACCCCCATCTTTGAGGGGTGTTCTCCTTCCCCCCTGCTGCCCTCTGTCGCCTCTGCCGCTGCGGCCGACCTCGCTGGTTTTGAGTCGGTCGATGCGGCGTCTGCCCCCAGCGGTAGACGCCGCTCTTGCAAGGGCAAGGGGGGCAAGGGAGCGGGTGGAGCTAGAGGGGGCAGTGGAGGCGGAGGAGGTGGGGGTGGCGGAGGGAGTGGGGGTGGCGGTGGAGGTGCTGGCGGGAGTGGAGGTACTGGTGGAGGCGGTGGAGGCGGAGGTGGCGGCGGAGGCGGTGGCGGAGGAGGCGGGGGCGAGGGTACCGGTGGGGGCGGTGGCAGAGGAGACGGGGGTGGCGGAGGAGGCGGGAGTGGCGGTGGCGGCGGGGGTCGGAGTGGCTCGTCCCAGCGGAGCAGCTCTGGGGGTGGCCAGCGCCAGCAGCAGCAGCAGCAGCAACAGCAGCAGCAGCAGCAGCAGCGCTCTCGCACCGTCCCCGCCCCTCAGCAGCTCCATGAGTGGTACTTGCAGCGTCAGCGTGGTGGTGCGTTTGGTCCCTGCCCCTACGTTCTTCGCACCGGTGACCGTGCGGGGGAGAGGTGTGGAGGCACCCACGCAGCCCGCCGCTGCTTTGGCCGCCTGACCGACGCCTGGCGCCAGCAGTTTCCGGAGGCCGCTGAGATCCCCCGCTGGGGGGAGCTGTCTAGGGCTGGTGTAGCCATTTATGATCTTGACTTTGATGCTATTCTTTCTGCTATGTATGTTGTGACTGGTAGTGATGAGGATGACTGTTACCGGTGTTTCCCGCCCGACCCGGGCATTGGTACTGCTGCGTCAGGTGCTAGTGAGGCTGCTGCTCTAGGTGCCAGTGCGTCTGTGCTCTCAGGTACTGGTGAGTTTGCCCTCTCAGGTTCTGTGTCGGCTTCGGCCTCTCACACCTTCACCCTTGACTCTGGAGCGTCTCGCTCTTTCTTTTGGGACCGCACCACTCTCACGCCGCTGAGTCGGCCGGTTGCGGTGTCCCTGGCTGACCCCTCTGGGGGACCTGTCCTGTCTCGCTTCTCCACAGTCATTCCGTGTCCTGCGGCCCCCTCTGGCACCCTGTCTGGTCTCTACCTCCCCTCGTTCTCAACGAACCTGGTGAGTGGTGCTGACCTACAGGATGCGGGTGTCCACCAGTTCACTCCTGCTCGTCAGCGAGTGACCCACTGCACGGAGGCTAGCACGGGACGCCACCTGGCTACGTTTACACGTCGGCCAGGGTCGAGCCTGTACACACTGACCACTGCTTCTCCTCCAGGTGCTGAGTCTGGTAGGGTCCCTTCGTCTGGTCAGGTGTTTGCCGCAGCGTCCAGGTCTGGTCCTGAGTCTGCCCCCTGTTCGTGTCGTCGTCTGTCTCACGAGACCCTCCTCTGGCACCACCGCCTTGGCCACCCCTCTCTGCTTCGGCTTAGAGGCATGGCCTCCCGTCTTCTTGTGTCTGGTCTCCCCCGGTCTCTACCTCCCCTTCCTCAGGGCCCTGGCCCTGCCTGTGTCCCCTGTGTCGAGGGGCGCCAGCGTGCTGCCCCTCACTCCTCCCAGTTTCCTCCGACAGAGGCCCCGTTGCAGACGCTTCACATGGACGTGTGGGCCCCAGCCCGCGTCCGTGGACAGGGTCAGGAGCGCTACTTCCTGCTCGTTGTTGACGACTACTCGCGTTACACCACGGTCTTCCCCTTGCGCAGCAAGGGTGAGGTCACTGAGGTGCTGATCGACTGGATCCGCGCAGCTCGTCTTCAGCTCAGGCAGAGCTTTGGCTCCGACTTTCCTGTGTTGCGTCTGCACTCGGATAGAGGCGGAGAGTTCTCCTCTGGCCTTCTGCGTGCCTACTGTCGTGCGCGAGGCATCCGCCAGTCCTTCACGCTTCCGGACTCCCCGCAGCAAAATGGGATTGCTGAGCGCCGCATTGGCATTGTCATGGACGTCGCCCATACGTCCATGATGCATGCGGCTGCCCCCCATTTTCTGTGGCCGTTTGCGGTCAGGTACGCCGCGCATCAGATCAACCTCCACCCCAGGGTCTCCAGGCCGGAGACCTCCCCAGCCCTGCTGTGGACGGGGAAGGTTGGCGATGCGTCGGCGTTCCGGGTCTGGGGATCTCGGGCGTTTGTCCGCGACTTGTCTGCGGACAAGCTGTCCCCTCGCGCTGCTCCCTGCGTCTTCCTGGGGTTCCCCCCCGACGCCCCTGGGTGGCAGTTCTACCACCCCACCTCTCGACGTGTTCTGTCCTCCCAGGACGTCACGTTCGACGAGTCGGTACCCTACTACCGCCTCTTCCCCTACCGCACTCCGTCCCTCCCCCCACCCCCGCTCTTCTTGGTACCAGGTCCCCCCCCGGTCGACCCCCTCCTCCCTCAGGGTCGTGCCCCTTCAGGTGTGTCCCAGGTAGACGCGGTCGAGCCTGTCGAGGTCACTGGTGACTCTGGTGCTGCTGCGGGAGCTGAGCCTGGGGGTGCGGAGCCTGGGGGTGCGGAGTCTGGGGGTGCTGAGCCTGGGGGTGCTGTTCCTGGGGGTGCTGTGCCTGGGGGTGCGGAGCCTGGGGGTGCGGAGTCTGGGGGTGCTGAGCCTGGGGTTGCTGAGCCTGGAGGTGCCGAGCCTGGGGGTGCTGAGCCTGGGGGTGCTGAGCCTGGGGGTGCTGAGCCTGGGGGTGCTGAGCCTGGGGGTGCTGTGCCTGGGGGTGCCTCGTCTCGCCGGGAGCCACTCTCCCCACAGGAGCTGCGTGAGTGGTTTGCCAGGCGCTGGAGGCGTGCTGCTGGTGCTGGTGGTTCTTCGGCTGCAGAAGGTACTGCTGCCGCGCGTCCCGGAGGTGCTCGTACTGTGGGTGCTGGAGCTGCTGGGTCTGAGGGTTCTCGTGGAGCTGGTGCTGCTGAGGGTGTTGGCGCTGTGCCTGCCGCTGGCGGTCCGACTGACAGTGCTCCTGGTGCTGCTGCTGGAGGTTCTGGTGCTGCTGGAGGTGCTACTGTAGTGGGTGCTCCTGCAGGGGGTACTGGTGCTCTTCCTGCTGTTTCTGGCGTCGCCGCGCGGCCCCGA